ATTAAAATAACATATAATTTTTACTTAATCCAGGGTTTCATGATTGGGAGCCATTGTTGAATGTTCACATGTGCAAGATGTGCATTGATTGGTAAGATTGACCATTATTTTCAGTTTCCTGGCATTTGGGCAAGAGTTGTAGTTAACATCTAACTGAATTTTACAGATCCTGGGAGGAGGGTTGGAAGACCTCGGAAAAATGCGGACCCTGATGCACCTGCTCCAAGGGGGCGGCCTCAGAAACGGGCCCGGGTTGACAGGGACGACAGTCCAGCGACAGTGAAGAAAGAGAAGAACGTTTCATCAGTATTGGTGGTGGATGATGGCATGTCGGAAGGCCTTCACATGACTACCAGCCAAGTTTCAGCTTTGAGTGCCTTGGTAGCATGTCGAGAGTGTGGAGAGGCAGTGAGAATAGGAGTCAGACCAACAACAAAGGGCATGATTTCAGAGTTTACTGTGTCTTGCACAGTCTGTGAGGATAGCAAATCAACAAACACTCCCAACCTGATTCGTGAACGGAAAAGAAAACGAGAAAAGAAGGACGCAATTCTTCAGAAAACGGAAAACATAAATTATGCACATGTTGCTGCATTTTTAGATAATGGCCTTGGATACAGTGGGCTACGTCACTACTGCAAGTATTTCAATGCTAGATGCCTTAATGAGGCCACTTTTATTGTTTATGCAAGACAGGTCATAAATGACGTTGTTACAGATACAGAGGACAGCTTGCTATTTTCTGTTGGCATTGTCAGAGAAGTTTTTAAGAGCCATCTAGAAACAGACGGCTTAATTGATCTTACAGTTGCCTTTACAACCACTTATCACCAGTGGGGTAGTGATTTCTGCCTAGTAGCTGGGGCAGTTATTGAACTGACCACAGGCCTTGTATTGGACTATGATGTGGCCAATATGTATTGTCATGTATGCAAAATAAATGCCAAAAAAATAGTATCCATGTCCCCAGCAGAAATGACAGAGTGGTTCAACAAGCATCAAGATACCTGTGAAATACGAGAATGGTGTGATGAGTTAGATCATGATGCAGAGGAAGGAGTAAGAGAGATTGAACCCAAGTACTTGGAATGCTTCATTGCCAAGAAAATATGGTCAAGATCTATTGAAAAATATGGTTTCCGGTATACCACACTCATTCATGAAAGTGATGAGAAGATTCATGAGGAGCTGTCAAAGGCTGCTGTTTATGGTGATGTACCCATTTTGATTGACAGTACCTCTTCATGCTTTAGCAGAAGGAAGAGTGAACATGCCCGGACATCCTTCCAGACCAAATTAAAAGCAAAGTGCCCTAGGGAGAGAGTGCAGACCAAAGATAGAATCATGTATGTTTATGCTATGTCCATTCCGGAGTACAATAAATTTGCTATATCATCTAATTTTAAGCTAAGGCAACTGGTAAAGGAAATGGAAAGTGCTGCAGAAGAACCAAGCATGATACTTGGCCAGCCTGTGGAGGATCTAGAGGAAGAAATGTCTGAAATCAAAGCAATGAAGCTAGAGCAGGCAAATGGACAAAGTGGTAATGCAAATGAGACTGGGGAGGGATATGAAGATGAAGATGAAGAAATGGAAGAGGAAGGAGTTGAGCAGGAGGAAATGGGAGGCCAAGAGGGGGAAGAAATGGAAGGTGAGGAAGATGAAGAGCTTGAGGGTCAGGAGGAGGAGGAGGAGGAAGAGGAATTAGAAGGCCAGGAAGAAGAAGGCTTAGAGGGACAGGAGGAAGTGGAGGATATTGAGGGACAAGAGGAAGAGGAAGAACTAGAAAGTCAAGAAGAGGAAGGAAATCCAGAGGAAATTATTAGCGTTCAAGGAAAGGAAGCAGTAAAAGAAGTTGGAAGGCTAATAAAACAAGAGAAAGTTGAAGAGTCCTTGAAAGTATCCCAGGAAAAGGTGACAGCAGGATCAGCTGGGGAGGCAAAGAAAGTCCCAGAAAAAACAGTATCAGTGAGTGAAGGTGCGAGCAAAGAGAGCAAGAGTGGGGAGAGTAGTGCCACCAGTAAACAGAGTGAATCAAAATGATATGTAATGCCCCATGTACATATCCCAAGATTTATCCCATGTCAAGATTTTGCACAGTTATGATGTATAGAAATCTTTTATGAGGGCACTTCTGTTTGGACATGCAAGTTTATTTTGGGGTTGACACATGAAGCTAGTGCTGCCCAGAGTTCTCAAATGCACATCATCATCTTGGGTGGTGACAGTAAACAAGTTTCATTTTATTGATAGACTAGTGTTATTTACTTTTCATTTGAAATCTTTTTATGTAAGTTATTTTTTATGCATACTCGTGTTAGTTTAAACTTCTATATTCATATCAAATGGTTAAATCTTCATTCACAGATGTGAAAGCAGAAAAAAAACATTCCTGAATGCAGAACCTTTCACATATGATTGGTTAAGGAAACTGTGCAGTGAAATTATCCTGCATGGATATCCTTTGGCTGTGCTAATTGAGCTAATCATTGCCAATCCCAAGAGTTGGATGATATATAACTATTTGCTGATACAAATTGCTGTCATATTATTTATAGTTACGGACAGACCAGTAGTAAAAAGTATTTGACATATATCTTATTAAATAAAGATTTGCCTTTTAAAAGGTGTCTGTGGTATTTTTGTATCAGTAGATAGTAGAAGTGGGCAAATGTGTAATCCACATTTTCAGTATAGATTTATAACAATAATTGTTATTTAGGTCAATAAGGCAAGCAGTTATCGAACACTTGGTGCATATGCATCATTGCAGTCATTCAGTAATCACTACTTGTACACCAATAAATTATGTTTTAGTAGAATAAAAGTTTCTTAAGATATTTTTTCTTCAATATCCTCTTCTACGCTTCTTTAGACCCATATTTTACCATCTTTCACTTCACCTTTAACATTTGGACATATCAACCAAAATACGCCACTGATGACAGATGTTGATGCAGATCAGTCAGTCCTGAACAGCCTTCATACTCCATTTGCTATTTCCTCTTTATCCTTTTCACTACCATACTAACAATGCTCTACAACCTTTATCTAACATATTTTGTCCCAATTGTTAACTCATTTGTAACCCTTTTAATACAATACTCTATCATAATTCTGTATTACTTTTTAGCCCCCAAGCCTCACCCAGTTGCTATATTTTGTATATGCTGCTAATAACCTTAGATGTTGATGCAACAATTTTTTTAAAATAAATATATAAGTACTATCCACTTCAGAAGGTATGAGAGCCACATTGAAAGACACTTGTACCAGTCATAAATGGCCTAGGTTAATGGATAATGTTTGAAACTAATAAATGTGCTAATCAAATATGTAGCACTATGGTAAAGTACTGTGACGGAAAAGGTAAAAATATTATCAATTAGAATAAAATGTGTCAAAGGTTATTGTGTTTTATAGGATAGCATGATAGAGAAAAGGGTAAAAAAAAGGGGTGCAATTTTAGGTTGTCTGGTCTGACAAGTAAGGTGAGGTGGTAGGGTAAATGGTAAAGATTGGAGTGTGGATTTAGACTGGAAAAGGTAGAGTAGTAGTAGAGGTAGGATGGTTCAGGGTAGAGGGAAGAGATGCTGATGGATGTATCAGCATAATCTACTTGCTGACTACACTGTACTGAAACTGTCTCCATCTCCCTGGCAGATTGCCCTGTCCGTAACGCAATGGTCAGACTGAATTATTTATTTCCCCCCCAATCCCATGCCCATTGTTGTCAAGGGGGGGATAGGAGACAGGGACCAAGGCCCATAGGGGTGAATCACCCTGGCCTTGGGCCTCAGCTCTCACCTCAACTCATTTTGCATGGTCTTTTCTTCACCACCTTTCTTTTTCCTTCTCTTCTGTCCACATCCTTGTGCTGAAAGGATGAAAGGATGACTTTGTCAGTCATGAATGGCCTTCATACTCTGCTATTCCTTCTTAACCACTTTTGACGACTAACATATTTTGTCTGCCCCCCCCCCCTCCCTACTTCTTTTGCCATATTAATTTGTCATAATGCTGCAAGACCTTTCCTTACATTGCACTTCATTCCCAAGACTTGCCATATTGCTATATTTTGGTTGTGTAAAGGATAAAGAGGAGCAAAGGGAGTGCTAAGGCCCTTCAAGACTGATACAAAGCCAGTCTTTCATCCTTCCAGCATGGCTTTCACACTTTAGGAAGTGGATAGAAAAGAAGGGAAAACAGAAGTGGAGAAGAAAAGACCATCCAAAATTTGTTGAGGGGAGGGCTGAGGTCTACGGCAGGGGTAATCCTGTACATTGGGCCTCATCCGCATCTCCTAAACACCTTGATAACAAGAAGCAAGGAAGGGGGGGGGGGGGGGTAATTTTGGTTGATAGCTCCCCCCTTGCTGCTTCTTGTTGTAGGGGGGCTTGTGAGACAGGGTCAGAATTCTAATGTAAGGGATCACCCTCACCTTGGACCATACCCATTGTCTCAACTAATTTTGCATGGTCTTTTCTTCTCCCCCTTTCCTTTTCTTCATCCTCTTCTGTCCACATCCTGGTGTAGCCCTATAGAAAGGTACAGTAAGGGGTAGTGAAGAGTAGTTGAGTTAGTAGTTGCTATGCGTCAACTATCTAGAGTAATATTGAAAAGGTTAAAGATAGGTAAAGGTGTTGATGAATGGGGTTAGGTAAGGGGATTAGATCAAGTGAAGGATATGTATGCATCTGAGGAAGGAAAAAAGGTTGTCAAAGCAGAGTGTGGGAATTGCATATATAAGCTACTTCTGTATTCCATACCTCTTAATAGCATGGGATTAGGGGGACTGTTCCCATCAGTTAGGATATTTATTATCCTTTGAGTAGGGACTGGAAATAAGGTCAAATACAGAAGTACTGTACTCCTCAAAATTACTTGTAAATTTCATTATTAAAGATAACATTCCATGTTTACTTTTAAAATCTATTTGTATTATTGCTATTATTATTATTATTTTATGATTATTAAGGTAGGGAAAAAAAACAACTGCAATATGTCCCTTTGTCTAAAATATTTCTCCAGCTATGACTAACAACAGTAAATAAGTGATGATTTAATTACAACTGTTATCCCTCCCAAGGGTATAATATTCATACAAGTCTATATCAAGCAATGTTTCAAGCATATAAATTTTAGACATTTTTAGATATAAAGTAAGGCCACAGTTCTTGAACATACAGATTTAGGTATATAAACTGGGGTAGGAGAGGGATTGCATAGGTTACCATGTTCTTGAGTTGGTTTTATCCAATTATTTTCAAACTTTTTTCCACTTGAGTATCTATAAAGATTTACAAATACATGGTTGAATGGTTGGTGAATTTTGTAAAAAAAAAAAAAAAAAAAAAAAAAAATGAATACAAAATAATGTTTGAGCAAAGTACAGATTCAAGTCTTTTAACTTAATCATATTTATATTTCTCCTACTTTTTCATAAAAAAATGATAAACAGGCAAAATTCAGAATCAATATATAATAAATGTACAAGCTTAACAGCAACATACTTCTGACTAAAATCTAAGTTAAATTACAAATTACAGAAACTGTTGTGAATGGAAAATATAAGCAAACTACATAGATGAAACATGTACCTTATTACATTACAATTTCTAACCATTAATGTGTCAATTTAATGTTCTAACAAAAATATAAAAATTAAATTATTCATGATCCCTTCCACTTTCATTTCATTTTCTCTAGTTATGACAGTATTCTAATATGATTAAAACATAATATTAAAATCAATAGTAATACTAATAATGTCAAAAGTTATAACAAAACCAAAATGCTAAGAATTAATAAGTCTACTGACTTTGGAAGTACTTGGTTAGGAAATTTTCTTCTTGATCCTTTGTTAGAGCATAAATCCCAGTGGAAAGAAAGAAAATGGGGCAAGAAGTATGTTACGTACTATGTATGTGCATACATAAATACGCACATATATTATACTAGTCATTTGAACCACATATTTTGTCTTTGCCATTCACATCATTCTATTGATGGTGATCTTTTAACACTGAATCTCATTGTAATGATGATTATCTGCACAGACAACCTTTCTCATCAAAGTGATGAATTTGTTTTCTAATCTTCCTCTCTTCTTTCTGGATCAGGCATCCTGGAATATGTCAAAAGTTAATGATATCCAGCCCATTCTTAAGAAAATTTAAAATACTAAAATAATTCCTTTAGCACCAATACTTAAATAATTTTCAAACCAAATTACAATAAATGACAAAGGAAAGTATAATCTCTTAATTTTTCATTGACATAAGTTTAATTATTTGCAACTCACCTGTATATATTAACATTTGGATGTTCTGCCTTATTGAGTTCCAATGGTGTAAGGTAAATGTACTGAGTCTTGGAATCTGCAATATCAATCATCATGTCCATACTTTGCTTTCTTGCTACGATATCCTGCAAGAGGAGGTAGCAGTTAGTCATTAAAGTTGATTGAATTAAATGAAAAAATAATAGACTGGACTATAGCCCACCTTTTCCCTGATTCTTGACATAATGGCTATAGCAATCAGGAAGAATATGGAAGAAGATTGCCATTAACTAGCATGGCATAGACTGTAAACAAAAGAGAAACAATACTATGTTTCCATTTCTATTTTTTATGTGGAAAGGATACAGATGACTAAATGTTTAATGTTTAATGTTTGAAACAAATAAATATGCTAGACATCTAAGGTCATATAGCCCTATGGTAAAGTATTGTATCTAAAAGGGCAAGGGAGAGTTAAAGATTATGATAAAATGTGTTAAATATCGTAGGTTTGAGAGCGTTATAGGATAGTATGGTAGTGAAAAAGGAAAAAGGGGAGCAAGTGAACTAGAGCAGAAATTAGTAGAAAGGGGAGGGTTAAAAAAGTAGGGCGACTGAGTGAATTATACTGTATCTGTGACTGGGGAAGGTATAGGAAAAATGTTCAAGGAAGAATAGAGATGGCTGCAGGAAAAGTAGAAGAATCCAGGGAGAGGGGAAGGTGTTAGATATCAAAGATCAAAGATGTCAAAGGGTGTTACAGAAAAGTATGGTAACAAATAGGGAAAGGAGGGAAATAAATGAAGGAGAGCAGGGATTAGTAAAATGGGAAAGATTAAGGAGGTAGAGCGATTAAGTGAATTGTATTGTAGCTGTGACTGCGGAAGGAATAGGGATAATAGGTGATAACGGTAGATATGGTTGTCTTAGTAGTAGGGGGTTAGGTATCTGAGGGTTGAGATAAAGGTGAAGGAGTAGGTGAAGGAATAGTGTCTGCGGCTTCAATATGGAATGTGAGGTCTGAGGAAGGGTACTGTGATAAAAGACATTCATGTGTGTATCCAGGAGGGAGTAGGGGGATAGTTGGGAAGGTTGGGGTTTTGGGTGGTTGAGAGGATGAGGTATGTGGAAAAGGTTGGGTTTTGGATTGGGTGGGTGGGAAAGGGGTAGGGGGAACAGGATTAGGGGGAATATAAGGGGGTAGAGCAACTCAGTGAATTGCAGTGTATCTGTGACTGAGGAAGAAATAGGGACATTTGTCAAGGAAAACAGAGGTGGCTGTTGTAGAAGTAGGTGAAGAATCCAGAGGATAAGAAAGGGGGACTGGGGAAAGTGGTGAAGTATCAGGAAGAATGTCTGGAGGGAAGAGGTCTGGAGAAGGAAACTGATGTGAGTATTCAAGTGGAAGTAGTAGAGAGGGTGGGAGGGTGTAGGGAATTTGAGGAGGAGGAGGAGGATGGATATCTGCAAATAATTCAAATGTATAAAAAGTAACAACAGAGCAATTGGGGGGTTGATGAGGGAGCAGTGTTACCTTGGGTCATCTTTAGGAAGTTTTGGATGTCTTCAAGGGTTTATGAATGGGAGTTGGGTGAAGAGGACAGAAACAAAGGTTCTCTTATGAGGAAGAGAGGGGGAGATAAAATACATCTGAGGAACAGATGAAGAGGAAGGTGTAGGAGAGAATGTAGAAAGAGAGGGTGGAGTGGAACCTTTAGATTGTCAGGTACTACAAAAAAAGTAAGGAGGAGGGGTAGGTATCGGGGTAGTGGTAGAGATTGGGGGAATAGGGTGAGTAGACGTAGGATGGTTTAAGGCATAGGGGAGAGGTACCTGGGGAGATGTAGAAATATCTTGTGAAGATGGTGGGAGAGCAGAGCGATAGACTGTTTTGGAAAAAGTTGAGAGAGAAGAACCTCGTTGTCATGCTTCTTGTCTGGTTTAAATCTGAGGACTGCTACCTTACATTCAAACTTATAAGCAGAGCAGCTCCTATAAAATACATTATGAGAGTCTCCACAAATGCCACATGTACATGACTGAGTAGGGCAATTTGAACTGTCACGACCAGGTTGGGCACTTGGAGGGCAGCGGGCTGTGGAGCGACAATGTTTGACTAGGTGGCCAAAATGCCAACATTTCTGACAGTGATGAGGAAGGGGTCGATATGGTTGGACATGATCAGACAATCCACCAATATAAACCTCATGGGGGAGGTCTTGTCTATGGAAGCTAATCTTGGCAATATTGACATGGGTCTTACATTGGCCTCTGGTAGGAATAGTGTAACATTGTACTGCCACTGCATCATATTCAGCAAGGCAGGAAAGTAGGTCTTTTCATGGTCTGACCAGTCCTTGTTGTAGATAGGACAAGCATTTGGGGGAATAGACACAGTTCCAGTACAAGTGTTAAGAAAGGGGTGAGGTTCAGCAGGAATGGGTTTGCTAGTAAGGTCAGTTAGGGCAGTTAGTGCACAACCTTGAGATTCAGATGTAACTGTGACAAGGGTATTCTTAGAAATGGGGGCTGTAGGGGGAATCACAAAGAATCGATCCTATTTGACTGGGCCAAAGAGAGTTCTCAGAAAGTTTGTAGAGGTAGAGGCAGTAGAAGGATGAGGGCAAAAGGAAGATGGGGTGGTGTTGAGTGGTGTAGCTCTGCAGGGGGGAGGACAATAAGGATGAATAGTAGTAGTAAGGGAAGAAGGGGTTGACATTGAAGAGGACTGTGCAGCAGGAGATGAAGATATATATATATATATATTGGGATACAGCCTCTGGGGTATTATACATAAAGATTTTACTAAGCTTACCATAAAAACATCAAATTCATCAAGAATTCTTATTGGCGAGTCCATAACTTCCCAGAGAGCCAGGATGAATGACACAGTGCAGAAGGACCGTTCTCCTCCTGACATCATGGCTAATGTCTGCTGTGCACCTTTCTCACTCTTTTTGTTTTTGCTGTTTTTCCAACAGAGAACAAAGGACAACATTCATAATTAATTACTTGTATCTTTTATTCCTGGCACACAAGGTATATTGGGTAATATTACGGCAATAAAATATGTATACGTATATATGCACATAAGATAGAAAAAATCATATACATAAATACATAGACAGATATACAATTAAACCCTGAAGTATGTAGAACACTTACTGTAGCTCACTAACTGTATCATGATCACCTTTACTTCCTGACTTGACAACCCTCATTGTTAGGATTTCCTTTTCAAAGTCGAAGTGTAATGATCCCTGAAAAAAAAAAGCAATCTTACATAATTTCTCTGGAATGATAAGACACATATGAAGTACAAATGCTCATCATCTCCACCCAATTATGTCCACTTTTTGGCAACATACTCTCCCCCTAATGTTTTTCAAGCACTGAACATGGATGGCCCTCTAACCTCTCCCTTCTCCCTGAAAATCTTAAAGTAACCTCCCTCTCTTACGGTACCCTTTCAACTGTTTGGCACTCTCCCCTCTCCCTCACAATTTCACTTACATGAAGATTGCGAAAACTTAGCCTATTTCTGAAGTATGATTTTATCATTATGGATGTAAATCGCCGGAAACATCCATATTCTTGTTGTCTTTTCTCGAGACTCTGCTGTATAAGCTGTTAGGAAGAAGAGATACTTCAGAACCTTTGGAAAATATGTAAAATGTTAATACAACCATTATAAAGATATATATATATATAATGTATTCTTTACCATCTTTTTCAGTACTAAACATACAAACCTCTAAAAGATTGGAATGTCCCTCTAGTGCTTTGATGATGCCTGAGTACCTCTGTTGGACTTCCTTGTACTTCTGCGCTATTTCTACTGGGTCACCTCTTTCAGCTTCCTCTTTGCTTAATCTTGCTTCAAGAGCTTTGTACTGACTATTTACATCTTTAGCACTCCTAGAAAAATATTCCACATGTTATAGTATTCATAATGCTTAAACCCTAAAGAGTAATATTAATAATAACAATAATCATGCCCTGTACTCTTAGTGCAATAGAGGGAAGACCATCTGATAATAAACTCAATAATGTGAAATTATACCGACCAATTTTTAAATATTCACATCATTTACTATTTGTATAGGCAGAACTAACAAACTCTGAAATTTAAACAAAGAAACTATAAACTTTGAATATATTGAACATTATTCATGGTGACAAATGTAAAAGGTATGAATGAAAATTATTATCTTCACAATATATCTTTGTCAGAAATATATGCATTTCTGACAAATATATATTCGAAAGCAGTTAAATACAACTCTTGTATTGTGAAAATTCTCATTCTCATTTATATCTTTTCTACATTTGAAAATACTATCATATGCTGCCAGATAAATGTCTGTAGTATTGAGAATTTTATTTGCACATAGATGGCTTTAGAAGTGTGCTCTGCCACCAAGGAGCCAATTAGTAGGCCTAAATGTTTTTCTCACAATGTTAGTATCAATGTTGTTATCACTAACATTATGATAATGATAATACTTTAATCCCTATGATCCGGATGATGTAAAGCTCCCACCATGGAAAAATCTGGGCCAGGTGGTTAAATTGGCCGAGGGCCGGGCTGACACCAACTTGCCGTCATAGGTGAAGACCAGGGGGACAGAAAAGACTCACCACGAGTGCACAAACCTCTTGGAGTGTGATTTGACTCATAAGGCACTTAGAAGGGGGCTTTAGCATTATTCCCTTCAATACACAAATAGGGAATGTAATGTGCGTAAACTGTGACTGGAATAGCGCCGGCTCCAGGGAGGACACCATCTCCATACTGTACACCATATTCCTGGCCACTGTGCCTAGCGGTGCAGGTTGTATTATGGAAATCTGAATATTATAAAAAAAATGAGGTATATGACACAAATAATCAAATGTTCCATACTTTTTCTTTTTCTAGCTAAACAGAGATGATATGGAGTACCATCTGGATAAAGCAAATCAAAAGACAAATATGAAGAACAGAAAATGGTAAAAATGCAAAAATAAAAGTTTACACAAAATAACTTTGCAAAATGGAAGCACCGGATCCAACGGATTAACCCATTAACGCCGTTATATTTTGAAGCCGAAAATAAAAGATTCCGGGCAGTTACAAAATCAACGAGCAGGGCTGCCCTGGACTCTGCCTGCCTGCCCACCATGGCCCGCTGCTGTGTCGGAGTGCGAGCCCCGATACAGCGTCGCTTTGGCGGGACACCCAACAATGTGTATTTTTTCGGGTGTCTCATATGTGGGACACCCATCGTTAGTGGGTTAATAACACGATGTTGATAACAATATGACTAGAAATAAAAAATAATTAAGAATCGTGCCAAAATTCAAGGAAAAGGATAAACAAGGGATATGGGTAGGACTAGTAATTGATCATAATAGATTAGATTGTGGAGCCATGCTGTGTAAAACCCAATTCATAAAAAAATTCACAGTAAATGTACTATGCATTTTTGCCATCCCAACCTGATGCAGCTGGGAATGGCACATACAAACTTGCTATCCCCACAGTGAGTTTGATTTACCCAATGCTGCCGGGTAAAAAAGTTTGGCAAGAGGATGTGATAACAGGATTGTTGGCGTGCATCGGCAGTTTTTTGTTTGCAACTGGCTTATTCAGTAGTTTGCAAGCGGCATTTGGCACCTTAAAGCTTTTATTTTGCTGTAATTTATAAAATACTATAATTCTAAAGATTTACTTTCATTAAAGGTGCTATTGCTTTACCATATAAAAGAAGCTGCAACTATCGGAGAAAAACAAACTCCTTCCAACGAGCCAATGGTGCAGGAATGGTTATCATACGATGCCATCCGTTTTTCGGTCCACAACAGCCATGGCATGTACGTACATGTCACCCGGCGGCTAGTGGTTAATTGTACTTACACGTAGATGGCTCCACAAGTTCCAAGTCCAACCTATCTCACCTGTTTACACTTTTCCTTGATTTTTGTAAATATCTGATCTTGCTCAATATTGCTATTAGTATTGTTAATAACACTAATAACATAAATATCAATAATAGTAATAACAGCATCAATATTAATAGCATTTGGGAAAAAAAACTCATGGAAGGAGAAAATCGGGTGAGTCACGTGAACTACTAATTGACTCCTTAGTGAATGAGGATTTGTGGAATGATCTATGTGTAGAAACATTTTACAAAACTATACTTTAGTGAATACAGCAACATAGGGTTCAAAT